TGTATTATTACACCAGGCACCAGGGTATGTGTTTAAATTAAATTTTCAGGATGAAGTTTAAATTATTTTTAACTAGGAAACCATAATTAAAAATATAAATAACCACAGAGCAAAATTCAAACTAGCAGAGAAATAGTAATGAACTATGGCACCCATCACATGCAGCCATAAATCAGAAGGGAGAAACAAAGAGTGAAGTAAATTCCCTGCCACCATTCCAGTGGTTTCTCTGACTAGGCATAATTCAGTCACCTCCCACTGGATTCTCTTAATAAGCATGTGATGAACCAGGGACACTAAAAGGCTCCAGTTATTTCGAGGCTTAGAGTCGGTATCCTGTAAACCATTCTTCATCTTCTACTGCTGCTGCCTCTCTCCTCCCCTCCCCTCTCCTCCCCTCCCCTCCCCTCCCCTCTCCCCTCCTCTCCCTTCTTCTCTCTTCTCTTCTCTTCTCTTCTCTTCTCTTCTCTTCTCTTCTCTTCTCTTCTCTTCTCTTCTCTTCTCTTCTCTTGTCTTGTCTTGTCTTGTCTTGTCTTCTCTCTCTCTCTCTCTCTCTTTCTCTCTCTCTCTCAAAATTCTGCCTTTCAGTTCCACTTTGTCACTAGGATCTTTAGCAATTTAGCCCCCCCACCCCCACCTCACCAACTCCACCACAAGGTGGCCTGTCTAATATTTGAGAAGTGACTGTTACACTTTTAAAAGTCACCCCTAAGCCAAGGGTGCTCTGGAGCCAATTTAAATCCCTTCTTGCAAGAGCCAGTTGTTAAATTTTCAGTATGAGTATTCATGGCTTGGGAATTTGCAAACACTACAAATAAGTTTCTTGTTTTATTGATTGCATAGATTTTAAAAATTGATAGAGAAAGTGTTAACACAAGATTAAATTTAAAAGCGTCATGCACGTGTGATTTCCTCCCTGGGGAGCCGGGTGTTAAATCTTTACCAACAAACTATAGCCCTGAACCTACAATGGAATAGCAAAGATATATTTCTGAGGTGTGCTCATGAGGGAGATATGTTCGTGAACCCTTGGAGACCTTTTGTGGAGGAGTCTTCAGACTTTGAGAAATGGAATGGAAAAGAAGCCTTCAGAGATAGAAAAAACAGGAACTTTGTTTTTGAGCTATGACACAGGCTTTCTGGAATTCTGGAGATGGAAGAAGGTGGTCCCTTGGGGAGGGAAATGACTGCCATCTGCTGGCATCCGGGGAGAACTGCAAAAGATGTGAATTGTAGACCAAGTGGATGGAGTATACTAGCAAAGGGGGATGATAAGTTTCTGGAGGCATGAGCTACTTAGAGTACAAGGAGCACCAGACATCCAGAGAAGTCATGATATGGAGGATAGTCCCAGATGGCCCCTCCCAGGACCTTAACCAGGGTAGTAGTAGTAGTAGTAGTAGTAGTGGTAGTAGTAGTGGTGGTGGTGGTGGTGGTAGTAGTAGTAGTGGTAGTAGTAATTAGTATTTAGAGAATACTTTGAGGTTTGCAAAGCACTTGATATATATTATTTCATTTGCTCCTCACCACAACCCTGTGAGTTAAGTGCTGTTATTATTATTATTTTACAGATGAGATAGATTAAATGACTTGTCCAAGGATATGAAGGAATAAGGAAGAAAGGAAGGAAGGAAGGAAGAAAAAAGGAAGGAAACAAGAATTTATCAGGTAGTTAGTATGTGCCAGACACTGTGCTAAGCTCTAGGAATACTAATAGAAGCAAAAAAAAAAAAGAAGTAGTCTTTGCCCTCAAGGAACTTACATTCTAACTAAGGAAGATAGCAAACAAAAAAGAGCTAAAACTCAAAGTATATATGTTTGGGTGTGGGGGCTGTGGAATGAATTCAGCATGGGGTGGAAGTGGGGCATGATTTTGAAGTTCATAAGTCAGAATCAGAGCCAGGAAGGGAATGAAGGCTGCCTGGCCTGGGTCCCTCTACAAAATGGAAGCGTCAGGAGAAATTTACCAATGGAAGAAGTGGGGTGGTTTCATGGAGGGATATTACAAGGTGAGAATAGCCACAGCTATGAGACAGATTTTGAACTCAGCTCTTCTGAACTGCAAGTTAGCATTCTATCCATTGTACCAACTAGTTGCCACTATTTATGATCCTGTAAATGGCTGAGACTGTACAAGTCTCTGTACAAGTGGAGCACTGACTTACACTACTATTTTTCTATAGGTTTTAACATAAATCTTACTTGTTTCTCTTTGCCCTTAAGTAAACCTGTTCATGCTTTGAGTTTTGTTAGTCCAGGTGCTTGTAAGGGGAGCTGGTGACTACACCCTGAGGGAGGTGTGTCAGATAATGAAGTTCCCAGATTATCTAGATGAAGACAATTACCCAGAGAAGTGACAAGTTACCCAAAATATATTCAATGCCTTCATGTCAGGAGGGAGCCTCTGACACAAAAGTTACCCTTTTATCATATGGTCTCAAGTCCTCTTACTATCCTGCCTACTCTCCTCTGGATGCACTCTAGCTTAACTATGTAGCATGCAGAACTGAACCCAGTCTCCTACTTTGGGGCCTTGAGCAAGGCAAGGGCTAGAGGGAGTATCACCTTCCTTCTTTTTCTTGGAAGGGAAGGGAGTATCATGAAGTTGCAAAGACCAAATTCAATGACTTCACCGTTTTGGCTCCAGCCAGTCCTGTATATCATTCCATGCTTCTCCTCCACTTTATCCCTAGAGCCCAGAACAGGGCTGGGTACTACGCACTGGACCCTCAAACCAAACTGTCATGGTCTAAAGATGGCATCTTCCCCTGGGCCCCCCTGCCCCAGTAAAAGCCACTCATAGCTCCTCACGCCAAGGGACCTCAAACCAGATTTATTTTCCTTTGGTAACTTTCATAGTGACAATAGGAGGTGAAACTTCAAACCCACTCATGGAATCTTAATATGATGCCAGTTATTTATTAAGAACAGTGATTGTTTGACTCTTAACGGCTGTAATGGATGGGAATCTGAAACACAACTCAGCTCAAATGTGTTTTTGATCAATTCCTATTTAACAAACTGTCTCATTAAATCTTAGTTGAAGAGACTTTATTTGGGAATCTTTTCTTTCTCTCCCCCTCCTTTTGTTTGAGGGGATCCTAGAATCTTGGAATGCTAGAATCAAAGAATCATAGAATCTTAATAACTTAGGATAATAGAATCACAGCATCTTAACTCAATTCAATTCAAGATTTATTGTCTTGGGATAATAGAATTTTAGGATGTTAGTGCTGGAAAGGAGCCTAGAGATCATTTAGCACAACCTCTTCATTTCATAGATAGGGAAACTGAGGCCCAGAGAGAGAAAAGAATTTGTTCCAGTGAGTTAATGCCTGAGCCCGGATCTAATTAAGATGATTAGCTTGATCTTCATTTTGATTTCTGAGGATTTGTCAGGGGGCCCTTTCCTTTGACATGGTGATTGAAAATGAGCAGGGTGAGTTGTAGAGGGGAATAATGGAGGAAAAGGCTGAAAAAAATGGGAAGAAGCCAAGCTGTAAAGTATTTAAATGCCAGACAGAGATTGTATGTAATGCCATTAGTAAGGGGGAGCTTCCTGATGAATGACAAATAGCCCAGCTTACAAGTACTTTCCACCCCTACCCCCTATCCCCAGCCTTATACCTCCTGTCTTCACCTCACCTTTCTCCTGGCCTCTAGCCTTCTTCCTTGGGCACTAGAAGAATGGTATCAGAAAGGTGGAAGACCATAGAGCCTGTAAACTATAAGACAATGAATTTGACTTCAATTCTTGGGAAAATAATGTCTTAGTGAAGAGATGGTTAGTTAACATCTAGAAAAGGAAGCAGTGATCACAAAGAGTCAGCATGGGTTTATCAAGCAAAGGTCATGACAAACTAACTTCTTTTTTGATAGCTACTAAGCTTGTAGGTTAGGGCAATACTGCGGATATACTTCATCTAGTTTTTAGCCGAGCTTTTGTTGAATGCTCTCATGTTGTTCTTGCAGGAAACAGACCATGCAACCAGTTTCACAACTGGTTGAATAGCTGGACTCAAGGAGTAGTTATTAATGATTTGATGCTAGCTTGGCAGGAAGTCTCCAATGGAATGCCCCAGATCATCCTTACTTCCCCTTCCTCTCCCCTCGCCCCTCCCCCACCCCCGAAGATCCAAGGACAAGGTTGGTATATATTGGTCCCTCAAACCATACTGTCAGAATATGAAGATGACATCTTCCCCTGGGTCACTCTGCCCCTGTAGAGGTCACTCATAGCTCCTCGTGCCAGGGGACTTTAAGCTAGATTTATTTTCTTTCCTGATCTGCCCTTAGCCCTTTGCTGTTTAATATATTTATCAAATAACTTTGATGAAGGTATAGGTGGCATGTTTAATATGTAGATGACATAAAGCTCCATCAGATTATGAGCTCCTTGGGGGGAGGACTGTTTTTGCCTCCTTTTGTATCTCCAGTGCTTAGCATAGTGCCTGGCATCTATGGTAGGTGCTTAATAAATGCTGATTGATTGGGAGAGATTGTTAACTACTA